AAACCATCATCTATTAAAAGTTACAATGGAATATAATTGCTACTATAGAACAAGAACATAAACTTTAAAAATGTACCCAGGGTAGGGGCAGGGAGAAAAGACATCATGATACATGCTCTTTTAAAGATGTTATTTGGAATGAATTACATAAACTGCCATATTTCAAAGACTGGGCTTCATTATCTATTGATAGTATAATAAAACTATGTAAAAATGTTCTGCTAGGGAGTTTTATTTATTAGATGTAAAAATCTTCCTCATACAATCTAAATAAATTTGTCTTCTACCATCCTTTTGATGAAAAACTACTTCTGGTGTTGGTGGGATTGTAAACTAGTTCAACCATTATGGAAAACAGTATGGCGATTCCTCAAGGATCTAGAACTAGAAGTACCATATGACCCAGCCATCCCATTACTGGGTATATACCCAAAGGATTATAAATCATGCTGCTATAAAGACACATGCACACATGTTTATTGCGGCACTATTCACAATAGCAAAGACTTGGAATCAACCCAAATGTCCATCAGTGACAGACTGGATTAAGAAAATGTGGCACATATACACCATGGAATACTATGCAGCCATAAAAAAGGATGAATTTGTGTCCTTTGTAGGGACATGGATGCAGCTGGAAACCATCATTCTCAGCAAACTATCACAAGAACAGAAAACCAAACACCGCATGTTCTCACTCATAGGTGGGAACTGAACAATGAGATCACGTGGACTCGGGAAGGGGAACATCATACACTGGGGCCTATCATGGCGAAGGGGAGGGGAGAGCGATTGCATTAGGAGTTATACCTGATGTAAATGACGAGTTGATGGGTGCAGCACGCCACCGTGGCACAAGTATACATATGTAACAAACCTACATATTATGTACATGTACCCTAGAACTTAAAGTATAATAAAAAAAAAAAAAGTAAAAATTAAAACGAATTCTGGTAAATTATATATTCACCTCACACCCTAACATGACACTGGTAAATTTACCTATTTATCTAGAGAATTATAACCAACATCAGTATAGGTAAACACAATGTATCTTTCAAGTAAGCAAGTTTCCTAATGCAATTTTATTTTAAAAGGAACACTTAAAAATTGTAAGTATATCTTCAAGAAGCTTTACTGTTGGTTACTGGCCACTTTTTAGAAAACTGTCTGCAGACAATTTCATTCCTGAGGTAGACAGATTCTACCAACACTATTTTCTTGAAATGTAGTGTTTGTTCCTTTAAAAAATTTTCTTCGTTATTTCTAAAGTACATTTAACTCAGCAATTAAAGTTGAAGGTATAAGGTAAAAAACATTGAAATCTAGTACTAAAAATATAAGTGAAGATTAATAATTAAAATATAATTAATTATTACAACGAGAAACATTAAAAAATTAGGGATTGAGATTTTTCTCTTTTCTAATGAAAAGATAATGAAGCTAATTACTAAACAGACTAGTTTTCAGTTTTATGCTAACTAAAATGTAACAGGCCCACTTTCATTGGCAATGTTATTTTAATTACATTAAACTAGCTTGCTTTTAAACAGATTTTATATGTTATAATTCAAGCAGAATTAAGGAAAGAAAGGCAATCTGAATTCTGTGCTAGGTAGAAGAGTGAGGAGGAAAAGTGGGTTAACTGATGAGCTTCTATTTTCCAGTCCAGCGGTTCTCAATGTGTGTTCCTGGACCAGCAGCACCTATATCACCTGGAAACTTGGTAGAAATGCAAATTCTCAGGTATTAACCCCAGACCGACAGAATCAGAAGCTCCGTGGGTAGGGTCCATCAATCTGTGCTCAACTAAACCTCCAGGAGATTATAAAGCCCACTCAAGCATCAGAACCATTGCTCCAGCCTATAAATCCATGTCCTTTCATCACTCCCTTAACCATGGCACTGCACGTATTTTCCCCTCGTGTTCACACTTGTAACAGGATTAATATCCAGAAGATAGTGCCCAAAAGTTCCAAAATGCATTAAGGAAAGAAGATAGAGGAGTTTAAAAAGGAAAAAAAAAGTTAAGCAAATGCATGCACATGCATGTGTACATGTACACACATATAACACAGGGAAGTCAGTGGCAGAGAGAAGAGAGAAGAGGCAACGGCAACTAGGGCTGTATGCAGCTGGGAATACAATGCTGCACTCAAAGGAAATTCAAAACAGTTTCAGACGAGAAGGACAACGAATCCTATAAATTTACAAGCATTTAAAATTAAAAGCACCTTACAGCAATAATAACATGTCAGCTACAAGAGCTATAGTTACTGGTAACATTTAGCAAAAGGTCAAATAAAGTCCAATTCATTCTCATGTAAGTAATAAATACCTCATGAAGGTATGCACACACACATGCAAGGAAAATCCTGCCCCACTGTTAATACAGTAAAAGTTAAACTTTTTGTACTGTAGCCCATATAACAGTGGTGATCTTCTCAAATGGAGGTCCTCACTTCTCCAGAGCTGACTGTCACTACTCTAAATTCCAGGGCTGGTTATTCCCCCAACTCTTATAAGCTATTTAATCCTGGAGCTGGTGCATGGCTATACACAATCTTGTTTTCTATGAAAATGATCTTATGAAAAACAAAAAAAAGTTTTCCTCTTTTACTTTATGCTTACAAGAAGGCAGCTAAAGTTTTAAAAATCACTTTAAAGAAGCCAAGGAAACCAAACAGAAGCATATGAGATGAAAGCATTTACTGAAGATAGGCATTTGAAAAGCCAGGCTCTAATCCAAGTTAGTCACAAGTCCAGCCACAAGGCAAATGTCAACAAAGGCCTCTGACTTTGCATGGTTTCTAAGAATATTCCATATATTGTATGAAATACATAATGGAATTCACACAACATTAACATTAAATATAAATTAACAAAATTACTATGTGGCATTTTATATGCAATAATTCAAAAATTAACAAGCAAAATAATCTGATTTACAACACATATTTCTCCAAGTAACCAAATCAAAGCTTTTAAAGCTCCAATATTTTGAGTTCTTGCCAAAGGAAAGCAAACAGAGTTACCAAGGAACCAGCGATTTCAGGGGTTCTTGTAACTAGGAACAAGTTCATGATAATCAGGAAGCAGGAAAAAAAATGAGGACAGGTTTACAATCTCTCTAAAAAGAAGACTCACCTTACCACCAATCTATCCCACATTTCATTTCTAAATAGCGAAATGAAGGTTATTAAAGCAGCCAGCAGCTTCTGCAATGGCCTATATTTGAAACTAGGAAGACTGCATCTTAACTGTGTGAAGGAAAGTGATATTAGCTCTTGCCCAGTTGCTTTTGATAAAAGGTGCTCTGGTTCAGTCTCTGTGATTACAAACCTATCTCAGAGCACCTGTAAACAATGGCATATTTTTCAGAGGGTTTCTAGTCAGAATAATCCCTGCAGAATTATCATACAACAAAAAGAAAACTGGGGCATCAAAAGAAATGAAATTATCATTTATGTTGAAGAAACAAACATCTGATCTTTGACAAACCTGACAAAAACAAGAAATGGGGAAAGGATTCCCTATTTAATAAATGGTGCTGGGAAAACTGGCTAGCCATATGTAGAAAGCTGAAACTGGATCCCTTCCTTACACCTTATACAAAAATTAATTCAAGATGGATTAAATACTTAAATGTTAGACCTAAAACCATAAAAACTCTAGAAGAAAACCTAGGCGATACCATTCAGGACATAGGCATGGGCAAGTACTTCATGACTAAAACACCAAAAGCAATGGCAACAAAAGCCAAAACAGACAAATGGGATCTAATTAAACTAAAGAGCTTCGGCATGGCAAAAGAAACTACCAGCAGAGTGAACAGGCAACCTACAGAATGGGAAAAAATTTTTGCAATCTGCCCATCTGACAAAGGGCTAATATCCAGAATCTACAAAGAACTCAAACAAATTTACAAAAGAAAAACAACCCCATCAAAAAGTGGGCAAAGGATATGAACAGACACTTCTCAAAAGAAGACATTTATGCAGCCAACAGACACATGAAAAAATGCTCATCATCACTGGTCATCAGAGAAATGCAAATCAAAACCACAATGAGATACCATCTCACACCAGTTAGAATGGCAATCATTAAAAAGTCAGGAAACAACAGATGCTGGAGAGGATGTGGAGAAATAGGAACACTTTTACACTATTGGTAGGAGTGTAAACTAGTTCAACCATTGTGGAAGACAGTGTGGCGATTCCTCAAGGATCTAGAACTAGAAATACCATTTGACCCAGCAATCCCATTACTGGATATATATCCAAAGGATTATAAATCATGCTACTATAAAGACACATGCACACATACGTTTATTGCGGCACTATTCACAATAGCAAAGATGTGCAACCAACCCAAATTTCCATCAATGACAGACTGCATTAAGAAAATGTGTTACATATACACCATGGAATACTATGCAGCAGCCATAAAAAAGGATGAGTTCATGTCCTTTGCAGGGACATGGAAGCTGGAAACCATCATTCTCAGCAAACTACCACAAGGACAAAAAACCAAACACTGCCTGTTCTCACTCATAGGTGGGAACTGAACAATGAGAACACTTGGACACAGGGCGGGGAACGTCACACACCACACCCTGTTAGGGGTGGGGGCTGGGGGAGGGATAGCATTAGAAGAAATACCTAATGTAAATGATGAGTTGGTGGGTGCAGCAAACCAACATGGAACATGTATACCTATGTATCAAACCTGCATGTTGTGCACATGTACCCTAGAACTTAAAAGTATAATAAAAAGACAAATAAATAAAAAGCTATAACCTGATATGAACAGTTTACATAGAATTAATTTGGCACAATTTAAAAACCAGCATCGTAGGTAGCATTAAAGATTTGAATTCAGAATGAGAAATATATTTATCCTTTATTCACTGACTTGAAAGACTGTACTTCTTTCACTTACTCTGTTCTCTTTTAATAGATGAAAACAAAAGGAAAAGAGAACTCGCTATCAGGACCTACGTTTTGGCTGTGACATCCACATACTGTCCTGGACGAAAGTGAGCAGCATAAAGAGGAGTGCCTTTATGAAAAGAAAATGAAAAATCAATATGAAATTTGACAGCACAGAAACAACTTTATGCAACATAAACTATATCCAGGAAGGCTTCGAGCTATCTGATTTCAAAATGGTAAGAGATTCTCTTCTGCAATTAGAAACATCCAAACAATGAAATTATTCAACAAACGTGTCTTTTGACTGACTTCACAGAGACCAAAAGTGGTGCTGTTTGAAATGAGAGATCCCGATGACAACACAGTGTTCTTGCTGTCAAACACATAAATTTGATGATTCTTGGTTGCTTTAGTGAATAGTATATTAAATTAAGATATATTTATTGTTTGCACATTGGGAAAACAAAAACAAGCATAACTAAAAATTGTTGGGGCTTCATTAAATATCTTGTACCCACTGGACAAACAGGAAACAATTACTTGAACCCAAGTCCCTCATATCGTGGGTATGTATGACATCTATATAAAGCCTCTACATATCAGATTTTAGGTGAACTCCTCATTGTACCAATAAAATACAGTTCTCCAGTTCATGCTTAGATATTTAGAATAGCAAAAAATTGCCTTTATAGATACTCTTAATTTTATATAGAAACGTTTACAAAACCAGTTGTATGTAAATAAAGTCTTACTTTAAATGTACTTCAGAAATGTTATTTAAAAAGTTTTTAAATTTTGTGATGAATCAAAGCCCTTCATAATATTGTTTACATAAACCTGAAACTAACATTTATGAGAACTATTTGGCAATTAATTAGCAAACATTTACAGGGCCCTTACAAATACATGCAGCTAGAAATTCAAGAATGTAAGACACTGCCCCTGACAGCAAGACATTTATTATCTTGGTGAAGAATAAACATTAACATCATCAAGTAAGATACACTTTTTTAAATGGCAGAAACCACTGTAGTAGAGAATGTGACTGAAAGTTGATTATAGTTATAGTTTATTTAATACAAGCAGCAAAGTGCTGTACGATTTCGGGGGGGACCTCCTTTAAGTTACAACCCAACCTGGATTTATATAGGCAGAGAAAAACGTTGAATGAAGAAAATAGAGATTTAATCATTCCACACTGTCTACATACTATCAAAACATCACACTGCACCCCATAAATGTATATAATTATGATGTCAATCAAAATAGTATTAATTTTTTAAAAAGAAATTAAAAGTGACCTTTATGAGGTTGAACTGCTGATTTTTGACCATTTGGATCCCAAAAAACAATTTTATATGATTTGAGCTACAGCAAAAGTTAATGTGGGCTTAATTTTATCTTTCTTAGAGTTTAAGAAAGTCAGATGTGTTAATACCAAAGAGAATATTAAAAAGTGCTTCAGAACTGTCTATACAAGTATTTTAGAACTATCCCTTTATATTTAAAGTAGTTCCATTATAAACCATTCTAATACACAATGACCCAAGTACTTCTACTAATTTTTATATTTAATTCCATTTACCTTGCCTTAAAATTGCAAAATTTTAACTTCAAAGAATACTTTTAATTCTACCTTATATCAAGGCTGACCCTGTCACACCAATAAAAGCCTACTGCATCTGTATTTTACTTAAAGCAGTTTAGTTCAGACATTAAATACCAAATCTTAAAACAGCATTCTACTGTCTTCTTGTCAGAACTCAAGTTCAGAGATCAGGGAGCTTTTCTGAAGTTCAGACATCAAAATGTTGTATTTTGCTAACCGTATGAGCCAATATAATCATATGCCAAATCTTTACTCTGACATTTCATGGATTAGGCAAAATATCTTGGAATTTTTAAGTAAGAATCTTTACATTGAGATGCTATGGTCAGTCCCTTCCATTGTTGTATTTTCTCCAGTTCTTCTATCGAAGCAAGAGCCTGGCTATTTTTCATGAATGCCAGTCTATGACCAATGATCTTTGAATTTTAAAAGTTACTGTATTTCTTTGAGGTGGCTTTTTCAAATGTTAAACTCTCTCTATATTAAAAACAAAAGTGTTCCTCCCTCTCTCACGCAAAGCAAAGAGTTCTCTACAGGTTTTTCCACTTTAAAAAAAAAAAAAAAAGGCTTGTTTGTTCCTAGTGATTAAATCAGATACAGTTTTGTATTTAAAAGTAAGTGAGACTTTGCATTTTAGATGTAGCTTTATTGAAAGGGCTGACATTAAACAAATTGCATATTTGGGTATTTTTACCTCCCTCCTCTCCCCGACCTCAAATTACCTGGTTTAATTGCAGCATTATCTGTTATATTAAAGATTTTAACTGTCTGTTTTGGCGGCAATCCAAGTTCTCGGTAAAATTCCAATACGGGCGTAGCTTTCTAGACGAAAAACAGCATATATAAGTAATACATTGAATACTCAAAGTGGAACTGAATGCATAGAGATCTAAACCAAATTATTAGCACCCCAGAAAATAAATCAAAGCATACCTTATTCCTTAATGAACAAAGGGCACCCAATTCCCCTTATTTAAGGGAGGTGAGATTTATAGCTATATTTTATCACATCTCTGTGAATAATCTTACTACTTAAGATTACAACCATGTACATAGTGTTCACATATAGTACACTGGGAAAGACCTCTGTTCTGCAGGAAAATAAAGAGTTGTGCTCATTTTTAAATTCTGACCAGAGACTGTCTGAATTAAGAACCCAAACCCCAAAAAATAAACTCTCTGCCTATTCTGCACTTATTCTGAACTTGAAGAAAACACAGTATGTTACATTTAAATGTTTTGACCACAAACTTCAGAATCTTAAATGTGGCCAGGTTATATCTACAGATACCTAAACATCTCTGGTTAAATCATTTTCACACTCTATAAGGAAACTAAGTCACATCCTTTTCTAAAATCCTCACCACTGTTTCCTCTTCCTCCCTTTGAGCTGATCAAATAAAAGAATCAAGAGAACTTCTCCATGCTCTTACCAAATCAAATTGTCTATACCAGTACTTGTATATTAACAGTAGTATCCTCCCACTCCACTCTAGGTTACCCATGAGATGCACATGGAGAGCTTCTAGAAAATGCCAATGGCAAGGGCCCTCTGCTTAGAGATTGTAACTTCACTGTCTAGTGCGGGGTCTAGGCATTGCTAATTTTCAAGCACCTCACATGATTTCTATGTCAAATTGGGGCTGGAAATCATGCTGATAGATAAGCTGTCCATATTTTTATTAAAAGCAACAATTCCCACCCCTTCGTACCTATTCAATGGTTCCCTCCTGAAACTGTCCCCACTCTCTTACAAGAAATCTTCATTTTTCTCCCCGTTCTACTGGAACTTCCTATCACTATATATAACATGTCACAATAATTCACATATTAAAACAAACTTTTTCTTGACCACATATTCTTTAGCTAATTTTTCTGTTCCCCCTTACAGCAAAGCTCCTGGAAAGACTTGCCAAGTCTACTTTCTCTCCTCCCATTCTGTGAACCCAGTTTAATCAGGCGCTTTCAGCTCCTAGAACTCAATGGAAAGTGCTTGTCATTCACCAAGGATCTCCATACAGTCAACCACACTGGTTGATACTCATTTTACTGAATCTACCAGCAATGCTTAACACAGGTGACCACTCTCTCCACAAAAGACTTTCTCTTGGCTTCCAGTTACTACTCCCTCGATTCTCATATATGTGAATGACTGCACATTTCTAACTTCAATTTCAAATTCTACTCTGAACTATAAATTCCTATGTCCAACTGCCAAGCCATTATCTCCACTTCAATGTCATATAGAAACTCAAGCTTAACGTGTCTAAAATTGAACTCCCTTAACCAAGCCTGCCCTTCCCTGGCCTTTGTCCAAATCTCAATAAAAAAGGTAACTCCCACAATGCTGCTGTTTAGGCCAAAAATCTTATAGTCACCCTTGATTCTTTTCTTCTTCACATTTCATGTCCCATTCATCAGCAATTCGTCCAGACTATTTAAAAATACAGCCCACACCAACCACTTACCACCCCATCCCAACGTCAACCTCATCCACTATCTTCTGCCTGCATTATTTCAATAGCCTCCTAACTGGTCTCCAACCTTCCACACTCCTGACTCTCTAGTCTGTTTTCAATTCACAGGCTGGCATTATCATTTTAAAACTCAAGCCATATCATATACCTACAGTGGCTTCTACTTCTTGTAGAATCCAGTCCTAAATCCTTACCATGGTTTAAAAGGTTCTACACAATCTGACCTCATCTTTTACTCTCCTCCTGACTCAGCCTGCTTCAGAAAAAAATGCACTCTCTTATTGGCCCAAGAACACATTACACACTGGCCTCAAGACCTCTGCACATCCTATTGTCTCTGTCTACAATGCTTTTCTGCCATATTTTTGCATGACTGGCTCCCTTACTTATTCAGGTATCGATAAGAATATCAACTTACCCTGTCTAATTACTCAATCTGAAATAGCACCATTTTTTGTCACTTATCAACCCCTCAGCCTACTTTTATTTTATTAAAGTGTATTATTTTCATTAATACCAGTTATTTAAGCATACCAGGAAGCTTTCAAGAAAAATCCTTTACATTTTTAGTATTATCCTTCAAAGCATTTATCTCCATGTGTCATGATACACATTTTTTACTGTTTCTATGTCTTCTATGATAGCAGTACCTAACCTTTTCGGTACCAGGGACTGGTTTCACGGAAGACCATTTTTCCACAGACCAGTGGAGGCAGCAGGAGGGACGGTTTCAGAATGAAAACTGTTCCACCTCAGATTATCAGGCATTAGAGTCTCATAAGGAGCATGCAACCTAAATCCCTCACATGCACAGCTCACAAGAGGTTTCGTGCTCCGTAAGAATCTAATGCTGCCACTGATCTGACTGACAGGAGGTAGAGCACAGGTGGTAACTAATGCTCACTCTCCTGCCGTTTACCTCCTGCTGTGCAGTCCAGTTCCTAACAGGCCACAGAGCAGTCCACAGTCCGGGGGTTGGGGATCCCTGTTCTATATAAGGGCCTCCCCATTTCACCCCCAAACCTACCCAAATGTAAGCTTCCTGAAAGCAGAGACTTGCTTTAGTTGCTGCTATATCCCCAGCTCCTGGTAGTCTGTCTCTCCACTCCTGCCTTCTGTCCTGCTATTGTAAACATCACAACAACCAGTGTCATTAAAAACAAAACCTATGGGCACCTTATTTTCTTATAATTCCTGGGTCTTCCTCCCAACTTTAATTCTTAAGACTCGATATAGATTGCTATAGGACTTGACAAAAAAGTTATGCCACTTTTTATTTCTTGATGTGAAGAGGGCCTCTTTCATCACAATATATAACATAGTACATCTATTTTCCTGCTGTTCCCTCTCCCTCAACTTTCTAACCATAAATGAAGACCCTGCAGGTCCCCAATGGCTATTGTACTCTATGTATGCTCACCTGTATCTATCTGCACCACTCTCTTCAGCTGTGATCTCCTCCCTACCCTGCATCTCTAAAGCTTCAAAGCTGAGGAAGAGGGAACAGCAGGTAGACGTATACGTGTTGGTTTTATTCTGGCGAAGACGCACCCTTCACACTGGGAAATATAAGTACATGTCTCCAGTACTAAATTCAGTTATATTTCCTATCCAGATCCCTCTCTGAGCAGCCTTACCAGAGCACATTGCTCCTTTGTCTATACCAACACTAGACACTGGAATATATTTCAATTATTGTCCATATCACCATACACTTATCTACTCATGTGTTGGTCAGCATGCTGACCTGTGAGCACCGGGATGGTAAACGCTGTTTTTTATTCATCTGTGTCTCTAACTTTACAGCTAAGCACAGTGGCAGGTTAGACAATAAAGAAGTGAGCTAAATGAACAATGAAAAGAAACAGAAGACAAAGGACAGGCATCCATCTGGGTATAAAGTTTGTCTAACTCCTCCCACTTTTCTACTCTTCTGCTGCATCAGTTCTTGGAACACAACGTTACTGTGTTTGTGGTCTCAATCTTCAGGTCTAGTTACTGTAAAAGTATAGGCCTGAAAGATACATCATGACTAGCTCTGAGGATGAACAAATCGGCAAGAAACTACTATAAAACCAAACCAATAGTAACTTATAATTTAAAAAACAAGAATAGCAGCAACTGAAAAACCCTAATCAACTCAAGATGACACTGATAATAACAAAGTATCCTTCCCCGAAATTCCCATGAAGTGCCTGCATAGTCAGACTTGTTTGTAGAATATGTGAATACTCAGCAAACTTTAGTTACCTGTTCAGTTTAAAATGTAAACCGTTAGTACCCCTTTATAACTCACTCAGTTGCCTATAGCTGACATGAAATTGGGTGGCACTGGCTTGTAAGCACAGAAGTTTAATTTTTGGATCAGTCTACAACTTACCAGGAATCTCCCTGGGGCTCTCCAGTAGAGCCATACAACAAATGTTGAGAAGCTCTACTTTGATGTCCACTGAAGAGTGTTTTATACCTCACAGAGTTCTCTCAAGAAGCTATCCTTTCCTCCACAAGAGTGATACCACAAATTCATTCCAATCATTCTCTATTATTTTATTTCCTACATGCTGAAATTAACACTAACACCCAACACCACTATTATCAAGTACCCTGCTTTTCATCTTCAATCATACTCACTTCTGCAACAAGTACAAACACAAAATTTTCATTTAACAGTATGGCTCCCTGAAATCATTTTCCTGATGTATAAAATTCAGATTTATTAAATTTTAGAATCAAGTTTATTTTTGACATTCACATATTCCACATGATTTTAAAAGTGTATTATTTTGTTAATGTCAGTTTTTTAAGCATACCTGGAAGTTTCTGAGGAAAATCATTTACTATTTTAGTAATACAAAACAGACAATATAAACATCTCAAACTAAGTAACTTTTTAGACTAAACCATAAATAGAATCAAGGTAAAACATACTTCTTGATTATCATCCAATTTCACTAATAAACACTTTTTTATTTTAAAATCAAAAATCAAAATATTATAAAATTAGGTCTCAGTCAGGAGGAAAATTAAATGCTCAAGTAGACTTAAAACCAGAAGCAGTGTGAAAGACTTTTTTTTTTCAAACTTCTAAATAAGTAAATGATTTCAAAAGGCAATTTAAAAGACTGACAGTATTGTCACACTTGGATAATCCCATCTATGAGGTTGCATTCTTTTCCCCCACTTCAAAGTTCTCTGCAATTATCCTTCCCACAATGAAAATACCTCTCCTCCTAAGACGAATTGATTTAATCAATGTTGAAGGCCATTTAACTTCCTCATTCAAAAACACTATGTACCACATCAGTTTTTATTTATAATAAGGTACAAAATAAAAAGGCAATGTAGTCTAATTTCTTGGAGGCATAAATTCTTTACAGATGAAAAGAAAACAGTTCTAACATTATTATAAATAAAAGTGATTTAATTAATTTCCAAATGTTTAGATGTATGAAATTCTATATTCATAGGTCTTCGTTTTTTAAAAATTCCTCTATAATCAATCTATTTGCAATTTTTCTTGAGAGCTACAATATGAAGTCTGTATACCTTTAGTTTCAAAAATCTTTGTTTTCAAACAAAAATGCTGTATTTACAAATAATTCTAAAACTTCATTTTCACATTTCATTTTGAAGAAAGGTCAGTTTATAAACAAAGCTTTTTTCTTGATATTGTAATAAATGCCATCTGGACTTAGAAATTTTGTATCTTGAAGAAATTTTGTATCTTGAAGAAAGAAGCGCCTTTGCAGTACTTTCTATGCTAGAGAAGTGAAGTTTTCAAAGTTTATGTAAATTAAGTGGGTCAAAATCCAGAACATTAGAACATAACATCCAAATCACCCTGCTGTGCTATGTAACCACTGAAGAGAATAAAGCTATCGGAATAAGCTAAAGAGAAAAAAATGTGTGAACAGCCTTGACTATGAAATGCAGTACCTATCATTTCTGTAATATTTTTAATTATTAGTACTGTTACAGTTAATACTATTAGTATTACTTTCATAAAATTTTGATTATAACACATCTTCATCACTAAGTAAAATAGAATAAACTGAGCTCCCATGTACTTTTTTTCTCCAAACTTTTTTTTTCTTGAGAAGTAAAATATTCTGAGAACCAATGTGAGACTTTCAGAACTGGAAGAGAATTTAGAGACCATCAAGTACTATTCCTTGTTTTTATGGGTAAGAAAACAGATGTTCAAAAGGTGAGTAAGGGGAACCTAAAGGTAGAAATCAGGATTAGAACTCAACTCTTCTGATCCCACATCACTTACTCTCTCGCCACCTCGTATTTCAGGGGAAGCAATCTTCACAGACCTGCTAGGGCAGAAGGGATTACCCTAACATGCTTGATTTACAAATATCAAGGCCATGAAGTCATCAATTTACAAAACTCGTAATGAAAATGAAGATGATGATGCTAGTCATTACAAAAACCCAGAAGTACAATCAAGTAGAAAACAGTGGCATCTATCAAACCAAAGATTTACTCATATGAAGGCTGGTATATATTAATACATTTTTAAAAAGTCAAACACTTGATTTTTTTAAAAAGTCCCCATAAATACCTCATTGTACGCTATAATTACTATGGAGTTATTTGAAGCCCGAATCTGTTAGTCAATAAATTGTTAAGAATAGCAGGAGAGATATTATTACAAAGTTGTAAAGAAAAATAAATGGTCTATGCTACCATAATACTCAAAAATAGCTAATTTCTCTAACACGAAACAAAATAAACCATGTCACAGATTTCAATGATATCCACCACCACTTATTGACTAATCAGTATTTCTCACCATTTATAGAACTATGATTTTGTGAACATCTCAAATATCTCTTTCCTCCAAAGCTTCCCTCTTCCTTGTTCCTATCCCAGAGTATGTCATCAGCACTGACCTAGCTGTGTCCTCCCACCCAGTCCTTTCCAATTCCTGCCCCTTCCAATCTCAATGCAACTGTCTTGCTTCTAAAGGCTCTTATCAACTCTCCCCTGATCTCTTAAAACAATCTCCTAAAGTCTTTCCTCCTGCTAGATTTTTAAAATCTTAGATAACTAATTTAACAATTTGAACAAGTTACCTAAAGAATTCAGAAAGCACCTCAAAGTCCATAGGATGAAGTCTAAATCTCACACTACCTTGATAGCTGCAGCTTCACCACCCTCCCCACACTGGCCTGGCCTGCACACTAAAATGCAGCCACATTACACTTCTCTTCCCAAGAACACATGCTCTTCCATGTTGTCTCTGCTTCTGCAGAGGCCATTCTTTCTGGAATGACTCTAACACCTATTTTCCTTTCTATTCTCCTCCTTGTGAAACCTCCTGGGATTTTCCCTGGCAGAATTGGCTGTCTCTGGTTCTGTGCTCCTTGGATTTATAATATTGTACTGAGATGGCTGGTTTATTTGTGTAACTTCCTCACTAGCTTATGCGCTCCCAGGGGGTAGATATCAAGACACACTTAAATAAGGCTCTGGAGTCTGTCACTCTACCTCTTACCAGTGGGTGACTTTGAATGAGTTAGTTAACTGCGTTAGCCTCAGAGGCTGAAAAGTTTACATAAAGTAACAAATGAAAAAGGCGTAATGCTGATGCATGTGGCATGTAATAAATGTTCAATAAAAGTTAACTATGATAAGAAAATAGAGTAGTTAGTAGGCACACAATAAACAACTGATAGTTTTGAGAGTCAGAGATTATAGGTTGTATCCTAACTTCTGCCTTGTTCATTTCATAAACAATTTACAATGGAAAAAAAGTTTGTCTTAGAGGTAAGTAATATGTTCTAGTAAACCTAAACATGTTTAGTGAAAGCCATCACCATTTTGAGAAAGGTTTTCTGGTTTTAGTTATTCAATACAGATACTCACTAGGCAGTTTTCCAAACTACAAACTCAGTACTCTACTTAAAAAAAAAATGTTTTATTAAAAAAACGTGATTTGGGTTCTTATATAGCTTTCTCCTAAACACTGAAAGCTCCTTCTAGAATACACAAAATTAATTTCCACGTGCTCCTGGGGTCAAGTGTTAAGACAACTTTCCATAGGAAGAAAGTGAAATGAAACATAAAACAATAACAAAATAACGAAATCTCCTGAGTGTCTGTTATATTCCAGGCACATTTGAAAAACCTAATTTAATCCATGTGATAAACCTATTAGGTAAGTAGTATTTTTATTCCCATTGTACAGATATACAAACACTACAGCTTACAGAGGTAAAAGTACTTGTTCCAGATACAGGGGGAGGTATTAGAACAAACTCAAGAGTCTCCAAGACTCCTGGGCAAAATGGTTGTACCAGACTGCCTCCCCCAAATACACAACTTTCCTCACAAACAAATGCAAGTTTGTGGCTGTGGAACAATCTCAAAACATAAACTCATCCAGATTTGAAACTGATGAAAAATGCAGTATTCTAGCTATGAAAATACACCCTTACACGAAAACGTGATACAGTTTTTCCTCCTACAGACAGGGCTGCCGTTTTTCCATTATGGTTTTCCTTTGAAGTATACTTTAGGACATGGCAGTCTTGTACCTAAAAAAACAAACATAAAAAAACTAAGCATGTGCCAATACATATTTTAACATTGCAAACCAGCCACATTGAGACCTTAGGACAAACAGGAATTCCCTACAGTTACTTACCTCATCTTTCCTCTAACACCAACCACAATCTTAAAAACATAAAATTTTTTTAAAAAAATGATTAAATATACACTTTGGGAGGCCGAGGCAGGCGGATCACGAGGTCAGGAGATGGAGACCATCCTGGCTAACACGGTGAAACCCCATCTCTACTAAAAATACAAAAAATTAGCCAGGCGTGGTGGGGGGCGCCTGTAGTCCCAGCAACTTGGGAGGCTAAAGCAGGAGAATGGCGAGAAGCTGGGAGGCAGAGCTTGTAGTAAGCCAAGATTGCACCACTGCACTCCAGCCTGGGCAACAGAGCGAGACTCCATCTCAAAAAAATAAAAAATAAAATGAGTTTAAACAAAATATACATGCAACCACTACCCAGTTCAAAAGTAGAATCCCAAAAGCCCGTGTGTGTCTCTTCCCAGTCACCTCCTCATCTTTTTACCCTAGAGCAGGAGTACTCGAAAATATGGTCACCAGCCAAGCAGTGTCAGGATCCCCTGGGAACTTAATACAGATGCAGATTCTCAGGCCTCAATCCAGACCTACTGAATCAGAATCTTTGTGTTTTATAAGACCTCTAAGTGATTTTGAGGTTCACTAAAGTTTGAGAAGCACTGCCCTAGAAATAACTGTTGACATTTATGGTAGCCATTTACTTTTCATTGTAATTACTATTTTGGAAAGTATTGCTTAATAATGTATTTAGATTTGCCTGCTTTAAACTTTATATAAATGGAATCAGATTTTAGGTACTCTTCCATGTCTTACTTCACTTATTTGTAAGGTTCATCTATATTGTGTGTAGCTCTATTCTGTTCACTTTCATTGCTGTACAACATTTCATTATGTGAAAATAACATGATTTGTTTACCTATTCTACTGTGGACAGAGACTTGGGTTATTTCTAGTTTGCTGGGATTAAGTGTGATGCTGCTGCTCAAGTTTTCTAGTAATACTTGGAAGCGGAATTGCTAGACTACAAGGCTTACCCGTCTTAATTTTGCCACATAATGCTAAAGTGTTTTCCAAAATGGTTTTGTACCAATTTACAATCCCACCAGCCATTCCTGAAAGTCCCCTGCCCCCACCAGTTTCCTCAGAGTTCACAAAACTACTGTCTTATACTTGGTCACTCAGAGCCAATAATAATGAGAAAAGGATCTATAGACTCTTTGTGCCTTATTAGCACTCTAAGCACTTAGATGCATGAGCTCGTACTTTACATCACCTGTATCATTACTTGCCTAAGACCAAGCCCCAAGGATCAACTGAGTTGTTCAAAGTGATGTGAGGAGTGATGATCACTTACCAGTATCTTTCTATAATAATAATAACAACAACAATAATAATAATAAAGACAATAGTAGCTTATAGTGGACACACAACATTGTTTCAAGTCCCTGACATTTATCATCTTGTGCAATCTACACAATAACCCTTTGAGGTAGGTCACAATTATTTCTTTTACAGAATAGAGTATCTTTTACAGATGAGGCACAGTGCTCCAAGGAACACACTAGTAAGTGGCAGAATCAGGACTGCAACTCAGGTATTCTGGTCTCAGGACCCACATTCTTACCCATTAGACTACAGCTTATCTTAGTGAACAAAATGCAGCCTCACCAGACAAGAGTATTATATTCTGTTAGCAAAAAGATCAAAACTGTAATTTGGAGTTGAAAGAATTCCATAAAAGAAAACAAAATGGGACTGAGATGTTTTTCCGATTATAAAGTAAACAAGGGGATCTGTAAAAGGATAGGTTATACTTAAAAAAAGAAATTCATTGTTCTGGTTATCCAAATACCAGTATCAGAAGGCCATTGCTCAGGCAAGGGTGAGGGCATTCCTGAAACCACCATAAGTTCTTTAATACTATTTATGTTCAACATTACCCCTTTCTTCACCATACAGTTCCATGTTTCAGGATACAAATAGTTCTTGTTAAGGTTTGCACAAACAGATCTTGAAACACATAGATATCTCTTACACCTTCTGTTTCTTTCTTACCTGAAGTAATGTGACCACGTGCTTTTCACCATCCTTGGTCCATAAAGGCATCATGCCCAGTTTCAAGGCAATAAGGCCAACTCTAAAGGAACCTGGCAATTAAAACCAAAGCAATGTGAATTAAAGCTTTTGCAACGCTCACCAACATGATGAAATCGTTTTTCCTAAAGTCAGGTTTCAGTATGAGGAGCAGGCACAAAAGAAATATGCCAATATATTCAGAGTAAAATAGGACTGTTCTTTACAGACCTAAGTGCCTTCAACCATGCCTGGCATGACATATTGGTGCTCAATAAATATTTGTAAAATGAACACACATAAATACACGAAATAAAGAAAATACATAAGTTAGATATAGTCTGGTTTTAAAATAATGGCATTCATACAGGGCATGATAAATCCATCATTTTGCTTTCCTAGTATCAATTCTTACCCAACTTTATTCATTAGAAAACATCTATTACTCAGACTCTGAGAAGATAGCTGAGGCTATAGAGATGTCAAAACTGGTCATATATTGCTAAAATATGTACGTCTACAACAAGACACTTAGATTCTTTGCATAAACTGGTAAAGTTGCCTCATTAAGAAGTTCTGATAACCAATTCAACTGTCACAATAAATCCTAACCAGGGACCACACACTTAATAGAAAAGGCCTTATTCCTCTTGGTCTGGCCACACATGGGTTTAGCATCTTTCTAGACACCAAGAGCTGATTCAGGGGTTATGCTTTCCAAATCTACAGTGCTACAACATCCCAACTGAACATCCATGCAACACATTACAATTTACATCACACTCTTCCAGCCTTTCTTTCCTGACTTATATTCTTTTTAGCTGAAGTAAACAAGAGAATGTATGCAGAATGATTCTCCCTTCACCTATAAAACAGCTTCTCAAGGAGGTCTTTATTATCATCAGGCATTCACTAAAACTAGACTAGGAGGTTGGAAATAAACTTGCAAAACAAACCACAATAAAACAGACAGACACAGCACATGAAAAACAAATTAAAGAAATGATAAATTTATCAAGCAGTCACTATGATTTTAAATGTGTCCAGCCACACAGTAATTAGGAAAAGAGAGCTCATCAAATACAAAATAATCACCTGGTTCCCAAGGATGTATAGGCCATGGTTCATCTTTCAGAGGACATAGTTTACTTGCTAATTGGGCTTTATCTTCATCAGAGACCAACTGCTTAATGAATGGGACATTTTCTTCAGAAAGATGCTCATCCCACCACGTACCACTCTTTCCATGAATACTTCTAACAAAAAGCCAGATGTGTGTTCTATAAAAAGAAAAAATAAAACCAAACCACAATTTTTAAACTTCCTCCATTTAATATAGAAAAGGGAAGTCACAAATTGGAAAGTGCAGTCAGGGCCTTAGGAAAGGGCTTAGATTCTGTATACTTTTTTTTCATGTCTCCAACCTTTTCTTCATCCCCACATTCCTTCGGATAAGGCTCACATTTAAACTGTTTGTCGTTACCCTGGAGAAAAAAAATTCATTTTCTCCTCGCAGATAAACAGATTCCCAAAAAAACAGTCCTACCTATAGACATGAGAAGCCACTAACCCATTTGGACGTGTACCTTAATAGTTATACATTCAGTGGAGGTGGCAGAAGGTGGCATGCTGATGTTTGTCTAATAAGCTCACCTCCTCCCTGCAATGACATGGCCTAGGTTCAGAGAAGTAAAGAAACTGGGTGTACAAAGTTAGAAGATCCACAAAAGGCATGATCTCTGAACAGGTGAACGTACCAAGAAAGACCTTAGTGGGTGGAGGTCAGGAAGAAGGGGTGTAATTCTTGCATGGAGGGTCAGAACAGAAGTAAAGCTTTCTGCAGTCTACTCTCCTTTTGTAGTCAGGTAAATTCAGGTTAGATTCCCAATTTTCTACTTATTAGTTGAGTGACTTTGGGCAAATTAACTCACCTCTCTAACCTTCAGTTTTAACTGTAATCTTTATGATAGTAGTTTGCTCCCGTGAGGCTACATAAGGCACCTCATACACTTAGCAGAGCGCTCAGTACCTGGCGAACGCTCACTAATTGTAAGATATAATTGCTGTTAATAGCGTTCGCTGCTAGGGGCTGGCTCATAAGCGTTTTTAAAAAACCACCACTTTAATCCCCTTACAACGTACTTCCTTAGGTTAACGGCCCTTATTCTTCTGTGTCCCACGTCTGAACACAGCCCCTTCCTCCTGCACCCACGGGAGGCCCAACTGCACCAGGCCATTCCACTGCTCCAGGACGCGGCTGTGCAGGCAGGACACCCTCACACCTTCCTACCTGTTCCCCGGGCCAAAGGCAGCACCCAGGCCGTCCCCGACTCGACCCAGCACCTGGGCGCCGACCTGGGTCAGCAGCCTCCAACCCGGCATGGATTAGCCCGGGAAGACTCGACTCACGACTTCCGGGCGCCCCGCCGCTCAGCTTTCAGAGCGTCCCCACGCCACCGCCACGTGGACGCAGCAGCCGTGGGGAAGTCGTTGCAAGGGTCGCCGGAATGGTCTACGACCGTTGCCCTCCGCGACGGAAAGAAAGCCGTGGACCCACTTCCGGTGCGTTTTACAATGAACTCCGGGCACTGGAATCGCTCTCCGGAAACTATAGTTCCGCTTCCACCGTTGTCCTGCTTTGGATCTGAGTTGGAGTAGGTACGGGTGGGCGGGGACTGAGTCGCCTCTCCAGGGGTAAAATAAAGGGGATGTTCAGAGTTTAAACTTTAGAATAATAAGGACAGACTTCCTGAGGACGCTAAGAAAAATGAAAACACTTCTACATAGTGCCCGTTGTGGGACAACTCATTATGCTAAGCAGCGCTTGATAATCTTATATTTGTTAATCATAAAAAACGGTCCTGAAAGGAAGTAGTTATTTTTGTATTATAAATGAGGAAACTGACTCAGAATTTAAGGGCTGGTCCAAAACAACACATCTGGCAGAGGAGCAGAGTTGGCACTGAAACAGGGTTGGCATGTGTTAGCAATAGACTACAGCCATAGAAATGATGTATGACTTCCAGGGCTGGATCATAAAACGTATTGTTACTTCAGTTTTTGTCTCTTGGATTGCTCCCTATGGAGAAAGCTAGCCGTCATTTCCTGTATACACTCAAACAGCTCTGCAGTGAGGAACATATAAAGAGGAACCAACTAGCCAGTCATGACTGAGCCACCTAGGAAGTGGATCCACCAGCCCTAGGCTGCAACTCGTGAAGACATTAAGCCTGAATCACCCAGCCAGGCAACTCAAGAATTCCTGACCAGGAGAAATTGCCAGAGAAAATAAATGTTTTTTGGAGTCATTAAGCTTTAGGGTAATTTGTGATGCAGCAATAGATAGCTAATGCACCTTCTCTACAAACAGTCCCCTGTCCTGGGTTCCAGATACAGCCTAATCACCATCTATGTGACTAGGACATTTATTCTTCTACTAATTCCCTTATTTGTCAGATTACTGTTTGTAGAAATTTGGAAATAAGCACTTTAAAGTGTAGCTATTTCAACCTTCTCTTTTTAGTAGAGATCTGGCTATCCTGGCTTAACAGGTCCAGACAATGGTCAATTTCTGGCCACTACTTGGACTTTAGTGGGCTAAAAAATCTTTACTTTGCTTTGCTTGTCCATTCATTCCACTCATTGCTGTTGCAGTTACCTTAGACACTTTTCAATACTATTTTGAACCTTGAAGGAAAAACTACATCTCTTCATTCTAGCCATGCTGCCTGGCCTCCCAGATACTTAAGGATGGCTCTTCATTGAACAAACATGTTTTCAGGTGTGCTACATGCAAGAAGTTGAGAATAAGAAGACTTCTATGCTACTGCCAATAACTAACATTTCTTATCCATGTAATGTGCTAGAGTATGTGCTCAGCATTGTGGAAGCCCATCAACCAACACTACTAGGAGAAAACAAGAACTCATACAAAGTTGAGTTTAATTAGCTTGATGCAGCAAAAGACAGTATCTGAGGATGTTTCCAAAAGAGTGACCTGCGAGGGGCTTGAAATGAAATTTGGACTTAAGGCTGAGTGATTTTAAGGTGGCATCAGAGAAGCAGGAGCTTGTTTTGGAATGGATGCTGTCACGAAGAAAGGACAGTTCGGAATTGGATATCTTGATAATCTTCGTTCTAGAGACAGGAAGAACAGAGAGGAAGTGGGCATAATGTTTGTAAGAAAGCAGCAATCACTCAGAATAAGGAACTGTTAGTCATTTTGCAGCAGTGGTGTGATACACAGTATGGTCTATTAGAAATTTTGTAATGATGGGCTGGGCGTGGTGGCTCACACCTGCAATCCCAGCACTTTGGGAGGCCGAGGCAGGTGGATCACAAGGTCAGGAGATCGAGACCATCCTGGCTAACACAGTGAAACCCCATCTCTACTGGAAAAAAAACAAAACAAAGCAAAACTAGCTGGGCATGGTGGCGGGCACCTGTAGTCCCAGCTACTCAGGAGGCTGAGGCAGGAGAATGGTGTGAACCCAGGAGGCGGAGTTTGCAGTGAGCTGAGATTGCACCACTGCACTCCAGCCTGGGTGACAGAGCAAGACTCCATCTCAAAAAAAAAAAAAAAAAAAAAGAAATATTGTATTGATGTTCTGCTATAAATACTGCAGTCCGGTTACTAACAGTATTCAATTTTACTCTCTCAGTATATTTTCTCACTTAAATGTTATAACAATCCACTGTGACAATAGTATAATTATCTGGATTTTACAGTTAAGAAAATAGGCATACAGAGATTACATAACTTAAATAAAATCACCCAGCTATTAACTGGTAGAACCAAAGACTGTGACCATAGATAGAGCTTATGCTTTTAGAAATTTTGTTTCTTTGGCTCTCTATGACAAACATGTCACTACCCTTGCCTTGGAATTTCTTTAAGGCTAAAGAGGAAAATCAGTAAGTAAACATATCACACGCAGTGGTCAGTGAGGATTGAAGAGGTAGCCATTTGGTCTAACCTTTTCCCATAGTACCAAATATCTCCTAGTCCATAAGGAGGACCTTGACAGCAGGCACCACTGCTGAACTAAATCAAGGTAAAACATGGTTTGTCTGCTGTCGTGAAAAATGTGTCTCCTGATTGCCAGCCAGGGCTGAGCAGTGTCATACTTGATTTAGTCACTGCAATATGCTGCTAATTGACAGTTACCAGGCCCAGTTGTCAAGGGACCCAGCCTAAGCTTTTCTAGGGCAGCCAGGCACTGACCTAGAGCTTCCTGTTATTTCTGATGTCATCCTTCAGAAACTGCCTTAGACCCTGAAATTGTAATGCCATTTTGCCTCTCTAAGATTTCAGTTCCTCATTGGAATAAAGATAACTTGCACCATCTCTTTTTAGTGCTACAATTCTATAACTCTTACTCCACTAATTCGGACCAACAGATGATCTAACAAACCTTCTCTTATTAAATAAAACATTAGGAATAGATTCATTTTTGAATGACTAAAGCTATGTTCAGTACAAGAGAATGGTCATAGGAGTAGATTTCAAACCAAGAGTTCACTGAAAATAATCTTTTTTATGTGTTCCTGCCATTAGGCTTTACCATTAGCTCTTATAATGTTTGTGATATATCCTGTATAGTTGGATTATTGCAGGATGGTAAATTTTTTGTTGGGTAATTTCCATTTTAGTATTCATTTATGCTGTCTCTTAGTTTATAACATACCTTATATTTGAAATTAGAAATCTTTTAAATAATGAGTTTGGATTTACTAAGTTATCCTTGACCTTCCTCCATTTTTCTAAAGTTGTGAGGATCTAGCATATTTTAAAATCAGTGAAGATGTTATGAAGGTGAGTCAAGCATGCATTTGGGGTGTAGATAAAATGAACTTTAAGAGATTTTTGAACTTTAAGATTCCATTGCTGGCTGAAATAGAAAATTTGAAAGGCCGTATTGCAAACTCCACAGATACTCATTCAATAAGAGAATGAATTCTGCTTCAATGTCCTTCAGTAAGGTCAAATCACAATTTGTAACTTTAAAATATTGCTTTTAAAGCATAATTTTTATTTGTAAATTCCCAAGTAAGCCCACAGTCTTTAGGGTTCTAAGAGATGATCAGAATTAAAATTCATTTGGCTTGAAGAAAGCCTAAAAATTAGAAAAAAGCAGTATGGCCATGTAGTAATCTGGGTTTAAAGTTTTAAAACTTACTATAATTATACCAATGGGCATTTTTTAAAGTTCTTTGATTACTTAGAAAAAATATTAGCAACAGACAATATAGCATCACATGCCAGGGAACTAATGCTTTCCAAAAGGATATCTCCTCCTCCCTGGTCTTCCTCGCAATGCCTTGGTGGCTAGAGTATAGTTCTAAACCGGTGGATACTCTGGTTACCTAGGATCATAATCAGAGCCTCTGACCCTTGCAGATACAGAATCTGGAGAAATTCTAGAGACCGAGTTCATTTAGGATTTTGATTCCACTTGGAGGAGGCCTGGGGGTTCCCAGAAAAATGGCAAATAACTACCATTTGCATTGCTTTTGCTTAGTGGCAGACACTGATCTATGTGCTTTCCATATATTTATTAACTTATTTAATCCTCACCTGTGAAGTGGGTACTGTTAGTTTCATCCCCATTTTACAAATATGGAAACTGAGGCACAGAAAAGATGAGCAGGTCATTCAAGTGCACAAACTTTACATTTGTTAAAATGGAGCCAGGAGTTGAGGCCAGGCAGGCTGTCTACAGAGTCCAGGTGCTTAACTGATCTGCTGTACTGCCTCTTTCCTTAGAAGAGAAAGCTGCATAGCACATTATTGGAACAGTCAGCTCAGCATCCAGAGAATGCCCCAGACCAGCAAAGACTGATGATGATAGTGCTAAGCCTGCATCTTTAGGTGTCTGATCAGTCTAGATCAGAATCAGTCGGTCTCAAGAGAGAGTGATGAGGCCGAACTGCTTGAGATAGTCACCCATTCAATTCCTATGCAACCTCCCTGGAGGCTTTTCAGAGCCCACGTGATGTCATAAGCTAGTGATTCTCAACCCTGAATGTGTACGAGATTTACCTGGGAATCTTGCTAAAATGCGGAACCTGATTCATTAGGTCTAAGGTGGGATCTGAGAGTCTGCATTTCTAACAAGCTCAAGATGATGTCAGTGCTGACCACATATTGGGTCGCAGCATTCTAAAAAGGGCTGTGAACTCAGAGCCAAGAGACTTGGGATTCAATCTCAGCTCTAAACTTAATTAGCAGTGCGACACAGAGTAAATCACTTCACCTCTCTACTTGTTCATCTGTGAGATGGCAGAAAGCAGGGTTTGTCCAGCCGAGGCCTTCTAGTCTTCTAAGTGAAAGTCCTTCTGGAAGGTAGAAAACAATAGTCATATTCTTCTTCTTCTTTTTTTGTTTTTTAAAGACAGAATCTTGCTCTGTCACCAGGATGGAGTGCAGAGTCTCACTCTGTCACCAGGTTGGGGTGCAGTGGCGTGATCTCGGCTCACTGCAACCTCCACCTCCTGGGTTCACACCATTCTCCTGCCTCAGCCTCCCGAGTAGCTGGGTTTACAGGTGCCTGCCACCACGTCCGGCTAAT